GTCGGGGCAACACAAAATGTTTAGGGGTACGTGTACCCCATCATGCCCCCAGAAAAAAAGCACTGATACTCACTATAAATAAACCAACAAATCAATAGAAACTAATAATAATCATCATCACCTTACAGTTATACCCAAATTAAAATAACTGCCAACCCCAACTAAACATTTAACTAACACCAACCCAACAAAAGCAAAACAGATGAACCAAAATTAAAACCATTTGAAACACTGTAAAATATTTTAGCCAGTTGCCCCAACCAAGAGCTGTTCCAGCAATGTCCCTCCGGCCTCCCAGGAGCCTCTTTGGGCTGTTCAAGGTGAGTCTGGGCTCCACCCCCATGTCAGGTGGAAACAGGCCTTGCAGCAGGGAGCAGGTCTGTACAATTATAGGAATGGTTTTGTTTTATCTTATTGTACACATCTCCAACAGCATTTGCCTGTGAAGCAGCTTCTAAATCTGTAAAATAAATAATAACGGGAAATTCTCAACCCCTCGGCAAACTCCAATGCTCAGGATTCCTTGGGTAAAGCTGACATGACAGTTAAGGTGCCATGAAACCAGCATTAAGCCTGCAATGTCTGCCTACTCTTGAGGCAGCTTTAATTGCAGCAACCACAGCCAACCTCAAAATAATTTCCAAATATGCGCTGCCAAATACAGCAGAGCATTCCCAGTGAGATGAATCGGAATTTCATTACTCAGGCAAAGGAAGGGCCACCCAAACACTTGGACGGAAATTTCTCTGCTGTCATGTGTGCACGTGTGTGAAAAGGAGGCATGAAATATTTAGAATTGCTCGATCTCCACCTAGGAAAGCTTTTATTCCCGGCAAAAAGGAGAACATATCCAGGAGCTGCCTGCTGGCCTGACATGCTGGGAAGCTCCATTTGTTCTGCTCCAGAGTTCCCCTTCTCACTTACAGACACAGCGCAGACTTAACCATGCCTGAAAGTTTCCTCTGCTTTTCTTCCAGGCGTTTCTTAGCAGATGAGAATCACAGTCATCTTTTCTTTGGGCACGGGAAGGAATTTTTTCGCCATCCTGGGGACATTCTTCTCTGCATGCAACTCACAGGCATATGAGGCAGGCCAGATCAAAACAGCAGGCAGCAGGCAAAGAAGCAGAAAACAATGCTGCACGCATTGTGTATTTTCTCTGCCCCCCCTACACTGTTTACATGTGTGCAGTGCAATGGTTTAATTGTCACAGAAATGAAAAATGGCTAAAGGTAGATTGTAGGAGGTTTAACGTGGGGTTTCCCCCATGGGACTACATTAAAGCTAAGAAGAACACTTTGAACTCTTACTAAGTTAATGATCAACTAACTGGTTGTTGTTTCTTTGGTAACTAACATGTGAGTGTTGTAACCTTAGATCACGTGAGAGGTGTTGGGTTGCAAGTCTCCATTCTGAAGGGAGTTGCCTTTGAGTCTTTTCTCCCAAACTCCATGGAGTGAAGATGTAAACAGCCTGGGAGAGTAAACAGCCTGAAGGCTGGAATGCAGACTGCGGAGGGAGACAGAGAGGCCTTTGCTTTTAAGTCTGTTTGGATTATTTTATATTATTTTATATTATTTGGATTATTTTATATTTTGTAAGGTGCTAAGCCTGTGCAGGACAGCACATGACATTGCATGGATGTTCTGGACATATCATTTGATGTATTCTGTTTTATTTTAAAGAGTTCTGCTAGTAAAAGTTTGAATAACATTGTTATGGGTCTGGAGAATGATTTGTTCCAAAAGGAATCAGTTCTTATGCTGATTCCAAAAGGAATCAGTTCGCTTCAAACTGTGCAATATTAATATGCTGCAACATACAGTTAATATTCCATAAAATGACGCCGTTGCTGTGGAAGAGTTGCCAGGGCATTTGGGGATTCTTAAGTGCCCCCACAAAAAAAGCCAAGCCCAGTGGCAGCAACAAACCTGGGTCATGTTGACAATATACATTTTAAACACTCTTATACCACCTCAATGGTCAGGGTTTCCCCCAAAGAACCCTGGGAACTGGAGTTTGTTAAGGGTCTCCTAACAACTCTCAGCACCTTTAGCAAACAACAGTTCCATACCTCCCAACATTCCTCAGATGAAAATAGGGACATTGCTCACTCCTCCTGAAGAGCATTTCCTATCAAAAAGAAGGCAAGTTCCACCACCACGATACCAACGGGACACAATAAGGACGCCTTCTGCATCCTGAGAAAACCCCTTACTTTATTTTATTCTTTGGTAGACTTAAGAAAATACACATCCCACTTCGTAAGTTTTAGAAAGGGGCAAGATTAGGTGCAGATGCACAAAGCATTTTTTTAAATTGAAATAATAATAATCAAGGCTTCTGGCTCTCTGCTCCATTCTCCTTTTCTTCCCACCCAGTGCTTCCTGTGAGGCTGTCTCAGTGACAGCAGCCTCTTTCCTCCCCCCTCCCTGGAGAGGCCATGGAACAGGGTCTCCCTCAGAGCCGCCATAGCTGTTGCAGCCGCTCAGAACAAGCACTGGCCCACCCTCCTCTCCAATCTTGACAGCAGCAGTGCAGGCTGGGAGAATAGGGACATTCTGGGATCAAATCAGAAGCCAGGATGGCTTTCATAATTCCGGGGCTGTCTCTGGAAAATCGGGACACTTGGAGGGTGTGCAGTTCCCTGAAAGCCATGGCGGGGGTTGAAGAGTTCAAAACAAGACTTCAACGGAGAGTGCTCCCAGGTTGTTATGCTGATGCTAATGAACTGAGTGTTGTGTCGTGGAATGCCATTGTGTGAGCATGTGCTCACATCAAAATAGAACAGGATGGCTAGAGATCTTCCTTGGGGGCATGGCTAAGGGGTGGGCTTGTCATAATGTACTCCTGCATGGTGCATATGTGCTCAGGCATGACATTGCATGCAGTTGAGGGCCAGCACAAACATCACCAAAATATTTTCTGTGATTTTCGCTGGGGAACACAAAACTAGTCTCCAAACGGAGGGCAATTTCACTTATTTTTCAAGGAGCTGGCAAATCCACTGCCATAGGGGCAGGATTTATTTTTATGTTTTATTTTGTCATCTTGCTGCTGCCATTTGGGAGGGCTGGACCTGTGTCGTCCCCGTCCCGTCCCCCCCCCCCCGTTTCCTAAGTGTAGGGAAACCCTGCTTCTTTTTTTGCAAAATTGAGGAGAATTGAAGGGTTTGGGCCCTGATATAGTCCATATAAAGTGGTACCTCGGGCTAAGAACTTAATTCGTTCCAGAGGTCTGTTCTCCTGCTGCTGCAGCGCTGCTGGTGCACGATTTCCATTCTTATCCTGGGGCAATGTTCTTAACCTGGAGCAACCACTTCCTGGTTAGCAGAGCTTGTAACCCAAAGCATCTATATCCTGAAGCATCTGTAACCCGAGGTACCACTGTATTTTGGTAGGCTTTTTTTTTTAAAGTCACTTTTACTGCTGTGGAAAAGCTGTAGGCACACCCCCCCACCCCCACCCCCACCCCTACACTCTAGCAATCCAAATGACAACTGCAAAAAAAAGGAAAGGAAGGGGGGACTATGGCTCCCTGACAGACATTGATTACATTTGGACAGATGGTTTCAACTCCTTCCCCAATGAATTTTGTTCACAGAAGTATTTCGTCAGAGCTGTCAACCTTCTTCCAACTTAGCCAAGTAACCAGCCAGGATGATTTGTGGGAACTGGCGCTTAAAAAATCCTCACTTAGCAATGCTATAGCTGAGGAAAGGTTCTTGAAAGGCAAGAAGGTTAACTTGATGGATCATTGAAACGGAGAACTATTGGTAAGATCCATCCCTTCAGAATTTTATTTCTCCTGGATGCTTAACTCTCTTTCTCTCTGTGAACCTTTTTCTAAGGCCACGCTCACACATTGAAAGTGCCACATTACCACTTTAAACAGTCATGGCTTCTGCCAAAGAATCCCAGGATCTGTAGTTTGTTAAGGGTGGTAAGAGCTGTTAGGAAACACTTCTTTCCCCTCCCAGAACTACAATTCCCAGAGTGGTTTAAATCTCAATCCCTCTTCACAGAGAACACTAAAAATTGTAGCTCTGTGAGGGGAACAGGGGCCTCCTAGCAGCTCTCAGTACCTATAACAAATGACAGCTCCCATAATTCTTTGGGGGGAAGCCATGACTGTTTAAAGTGGTATCATAGTGTTTTCAATGTCTTCTTCTTTGGCGATCACTCGTAGCCGAGTAAGATTGTCTTCCATGAACACAGTTTTAACAGTGAGTCCATAAGTGACAGTGGAGGACAATTCTGGATCCACACGTCCTTCCACAGTGGGGACATCGGTTTCCAGGTAGGAGTTGATCATGGTGAGGGTTTGCCAAGCGTGCCTTCCTCTTAGCACGTTTCTTCCTTGCGTCCTGAGTTCAAGTGTCTTCAAAGCCCATGACACCTTTGGAAAAAGCTGTTCTCCAACTGGAGTGCTCGCAGGCCAGTGTTGACAAGTTGTCTATGTGGCCTATGTGTTTTGCCTGTATTGGAGCTTCTTGCACCTCTTTCTCTAGAGCATTGCTCAGGCACTCTTCTGTAACAGTGCATTCCCAACTTGTGTAAGGGATTTCAGTCTGTGCATGCTGGCTCCATCTCAATGCACCTGTGTGCGCTGATTAAGGGTGTGGAAGAAATTTGATTTCGTTCACTTCCGCACTTCTCGAAACAATTTCTCTTCTTCGAAAACTGAACTTCTCCAGATTAGGTGCAGAAATGTGCATACAGTGGTGCCTCGCAAGACGAAATTAATCCATTCCGCGAGTCTCTTCGTCTTGCGGTTTTTTCGTCTTGCGAAGCACGGCTATTAGCGGCTTAGCGGCTTAGCGGCTATTAGCGGCTTAGCGGGTATTAACGGCTTAGCAGCTTTTAACAGCTTAGCGGCTTAGCAGCTTTAAGAAAAAGGAAACAAACTCGCAAGAACTCGCAAGACGTTTCGTCTTGCGAAGCAAGCCCATAGGGAAATTCGTCTTGCGGAACGACTCAAAAAACGCAAAACCCTTTCGTCTAGCGAGTTTTTCGTCTTGCGAGGCATTCGTCTTGCGGGGCACCACTGTAAAACTACAGGGACTGGTGAAAATAGCATGCGAAAAGGCATTATATTGGGGAAATTGCTTTCAAATATATACAGTGGTACTTCCAATTGCAGACAGGATCTGTTCCAGAGGTCTGTCTGGATCCTGAGATTTCCACAACCTGAGGACCGCTTCTGCACATGCGCACATGGCGAAACCCGGTCAAATACTTCTGGGTTTGCCACTTTCGCATCCTGAAGTTTACGTAACCAGAAGGTTACGTAACCGGAGGTACTGCTGTATATACTGTATATACATTAGGCAAGATTGGATATGAAAAGGTGCATATTCGGCGGAACATTGGCCTTAGATGCTGCCATACATGCACAGAGAGGGTACCCACTGAAGAGGAAAACCATGGGAGTTGTATGGCATCCATATCAAATTCAGAGAAGATCCAAACTCTAGAGACCTATATGAAATGGATCTCCGAGCTGGTTCTTCAGATCAAGCAACTGCCTGTGTCTACATGCATGCACATCATTTTTAATTCATAAGCAATTCCGCAAAATTGCCAGTTGCTTTTCGGAGATCCTAAAAGGACCCACTGCAGCCTGGTGTCAAGATATGAGCCGGTGTTCTAGTGACACTTCTGTTCCATTGTCAAGTCCCAGAAATAATTTTGAATGCACCAGAATGCTGAGTGTAATTAATGTGATTGTTATTCTCAGAAGGCAACACTTGCACATACTGGGTTATACCAAAGCATCACTTCACACAAATTCATTGTGGAATTACTGAGGAATCTAACCATTACAATTTGCATGAATAGGGGTGTCCCAGAGGAAGCATTGTTTCCAGATATATTCCACACACACCCTTGCACCCCATTTTGTGCCCAGCTGGAAGTATAAGTGGTTAACGCATTGGTAGGAAAACTAAGACCCGGGGGCCAGATACGGCCCAATCGCCTTCTAAATCCAGCCCACGGACGGTCTGGGAATCAGCGTGTTTTTACATGACTAGAATGTGTCCATTTAAAATGCATCTCTGGGTTATTTGTGAGGCATAGGAATTCGTTCATTTTTTTCTCCAAAATATAGTCTGGCCCCCCACAAGGTCTGAGGGACAGTGGACTGCTCTCTGCTGAAAAAGTTTTTTGACCCCTGGGTTAACTCATAATCACATCCCAGAAGTCTGTATATGGGAGTGAGTTTTCACCATTTAGGGAAGTATTGACCCTGGTGAAGCCAAATAATAACACTGGTGGTTTAGCAGCTAAAATTTCTGCTACATAATTCTGCTCTACAAACATTTCATTTGCATCTTTTGTGCAGAGGTTTTAAATACAGCAGACAAAGCCAATCAAACCAACTTTTGAAAAACAACAACGAAGAACAATATTTGCATTAACTCCAAATGACAGTCTCTATTTTACAGCTTATATTTTGTACAGTCATACGAAACATTCATCCTAGCAACTAAAAGTTTATGTTTAATGAACACCATTATACAGATATATTAATTCTAATACATCGATGCTGTAGTAATAAAGGCTACGCTTTCAAACATGATTTCAAATTTACCCAAGATAAATCCATTAGTTTATTCAGCAATTATTACTTAATTGACTTTTAGCCACAGTTTAATTGATAACCACATAAAAGCCATTTTCCATTAAACCATTTTCAAAAGAAAATTGAAAGGCATCTCCAATTTCTTCTTGTAATGTGGTGTGGGGTTTTTTGGGGGGGGGAGGGTTTAAAGCAGAAAATGAATCACTGCTCTTCTTTAACATTAATTGGTCACAACAATCACCCAGAAATAAGTAAACATTGCTTGGTGGATATTCACCTTAATTTAGGGAAAGGCCTGTGACTCGCTGGTACAGCAGATTCCTTGCATGCAGAAGGTCCCAGATTCGTCCCCTGGCATCTTCAGATATAACCAGGTAAGGCTGCCTGAACACCTAAAGAGCTGTTCACAGTCAGACAAATTTGAACTAGGTGTATCAACAGTCTGAGCTGGGATAAGGCATCCTCCATCTTCCATCCAACTTCCATCTTCCTTTCCTCTCTAAAAGCTTCTGGATAGAAATTGCAAGTGAAACAAAAGCCAGCGTTTCAGGTGCATGAAGCTCCATTTTGAATTGTGTCTCATGGCCCCATTTCACAGGTCCTGGTGCAACTTTGACAGCAGCAATCACCTGCTGGAGGCAGGAAAATTCCACACGGCCGCGGATTGTTCTCACTGAAGGGAGTTTAAACAAACCACAGTTCCTTTCATTTGGAGGAAGCATGGTAAGTTTCAGTTTAGAAGAGGAAGCTTTCGAGTTTCTTCCCGTGGCTGAAAAAGAACAATGGTGAAGAACAAAGGCTCATCATAGCTCTTTTTCAAAGAAGGAAACCATGGCGAGATGTGCGTGGATGTAAAGTATTCCCAGAATATTGTGCCTGTTTGCATTTCTTCTGATGCCCTGTTTAAACACTCGGCCTGAACCTATGACCGGGGAGGGGAGAGTGCTTGGGAGCCAATGCACTCTATATGGGGCTACCTTTGAAGGTAACCCGGAAACTACAACTAATTCAGAATAAAGCAGCTACACTGGTGCCTGGGAGTGGCCGCCGAGTCCATATAACACCAGTCCTGAAAGACCTCCATTGGCTCCCAGTACGTTTCCGAGCACAATTCAAAGTGTTGGTGCTGACCTTGAAAGCCCTAAATGGCCTCGGCTCTGTATACCTGAAGGAGCGTCTCCACCCCCATCGTTCTGCCTAGACACTGAGGTCCAGCTTTGAAGGCCTTCTGGCAGTTCCCTGACTGCGAGAAGCAATGTTACAAGGAACCAGGCAGAGGGCCTTCTCGGTCGTGGCGCCCGCCCTGTGGAACGCCCTCCCATCAGATGTCAAGGAAATAAACAACCATCTGACTTTTAGAAGACATCTGAAGGCAACCCTGTTTAGGGAAGTTTTTAATGTTTGATGTTTTAGTCTGTTTTTAATGTTCTGTTGAAAGCCGCCCAGAGTGGCTGGGGGAAACCCAGTCTGAAGGGCAGCTTATTATTATTATTATTATTATTATTATTATAAAAGGCACCCACAGTGCCTTGCCCGCAATGTTCCCAGATGTGCTGCATACAAACACTCCACCCCAACTTCGTCTCATTGAGCAACAATGTCTCCAGGGACTTCTAGCCACAATCAGATGAACAGAAGCTTCCTGGCTGCAGAAAGGCTTCTAAACACATTTAGCTAAGTGCCCTTAAAAGTCCCACCCCACTCCAGAACTTTCTGCTAAACCTGCAAAATCTAGGAGAGGAAGAGCAAGCATTCGAACCCTCATTCCTCCTCGCCCAGCCCCTGGACACTTTTTGCCCTCAGACAATCAGGCAGAACATCTGAAGAGGGTTAGGCTTCCTATGTGTTTGGCTATCCCATCTTTGAAACTTGCCAGCTATTCTTTTAGTTCCACACTTCCTATTGTTCACATTCAATGCTAGGGGGTGGGGAGGGGGGAGAACGGTGCAAAGAGATTATATTGTAACCTTAATTTGAAAGCATAGAAATGCATTCTTCAGTAAGAATTTTTCTCTCTCTCAAACCAATTTGCTGTGGAAGACCTTTCCACAAAGACTGCATTGTCTGTCTTGATCTCTTTTTCTCTCACGCTCACAGACATGTAAGTTTTATAATGTAAATACTGTTTTTTTTTCCCTGCAAGGAACTGCCTGCTTCTAGAAAGTTCGCCAACATTTTTCTTAAGCTGATGAAGCTCAGCTTTATGAAGCTTTACATTTATTTTAAAGTTGTCCATTCACTTTGCTTGTATTCAAATCAATCTGAGTGTTGGCCTTCTATGAATATAATTAAATTGTATATGCATTGTTATACATTGGCAGCATACATTATAATAAGCCACCAAAGTCCTTAAGACAGAATGAAAAGTCCACATACAAAATAGTCTATTTGTCCTATTTGGTTATATTTCCCAAGAAAGACCAGAATTTTCCATGCCTTGCATTTCCTTTTTAATGCCATGTTTTCCTTTATGTTATTATGTTGGATAACATCTTTATATATTCTTCATGATAGGAACTTCAGCTTTATTTTAAATAGGAATAAATTAGTGCATTTAGTTATGGCATGGTATGTTTTATCAGCTACAATCAATCAATCCGTCATTACAGTTGCTCCATGTCTTACATGAATCCTTATCCTTTCTGCAGCAATTCAAAAAGAACTTAAAACATTTGCAAATGGTAAAATTCTTCATGAACTAATGGAGATTTAAATGACTTTTATAACAATACAGGCATTTTTAAAAGCACACTATAAATACCTTCTAGTATTTCTAACATGTCATTCAATGTTCCGCTGACAAATTATGCTGAAATATGAAAACAGTTTAGCAATATATTTACTCCATAGAGTGTGCACACCTATACTTCGTAAGAAACCAGAACTTCTAACTCAGGAATCCACAATGATTTGGCAGGAAAAGAAATAGGACCTTCAAGGGATGTTATCTTTGGTAAACCTTTGGGAAGGGGCAGTTTTTGTATAACAACTTCTCCCTTCAAGGAAATGCATCAGTGATAAAAAAGAAAAAGGAAAAAAGTCTTAACCATGGAAAATGCCTAGGGACCTGACAGATTTTATTTGACACAACAGAACAACATAGGAAAGGTCTCGTTTAAATTCTGGAACAAAAGCCCTTGGCAATGGTAAACTTAATCAAAACTTAAAAGAGCTCTAATTAAAACAATTCTCCAGCAATAGAAAGTTTTCTTTCATGTAGACGGAGGACTTGAATCCCAATGTGCTTTTAAGAATATGTGCCTTTTAGAAGATTGTCTTGAATAGGAATGTGTTGGTTCCCTATGGATGATCCCACAGGAAATCACGAATATCAACTTTTGAACTTCAAGCTAGGCTTGGTGCAAACAACATATTATTATTTTTTTTGCAGTCTTTTAACCATGATTAAAAAGATTGTGAAAAAATTTTGTTCAATATATTCAACCATGGTTACAAGTTCCAGAGCCCTGCATCGCACTCCCTCTGCTCCCAGCATTATTCTCTCCCACTTTCTGTTTTCAGGACTAGCTTAGGGATCCTGAACTTTCTACACCTTTGACAATGCTAGCCATGGTTAGCTGGCAAACAGAATATGCAAACATGGTCTGGAGCTGGCTTGCGAAACCTAATTCAAAACATCAGCTTGGTTACCATTAATATCACAGCAGACCATGGTAACCATGGTAAGATACTGGGAAACATCTGTTCTTTAACAATACAGTTGTACCTTGGAAGTCGAACAGAATCCATTCCGGAAGTGCGTTTGACTTCCAAAACGTTTGAAAACCAAATCACGGCTTCTGATGGGCTGCAGTAAGCTCCTGCAGCCAATCAGAAGCCGCGGAAGCCCCACCAGATGTTTGGGTTCCAAAAGAACATTCGCAAACTGGAACAATCACTTCCAGTTTTGCGGCATTCGGGAGCCAAAGCGTCCGAGTTCCAGGGCGTTCGGGATCCAAGGTACGACTGTACTTTGCAACTTTCTGATAGAAAGTGGTGGCTGTCACTGTCATGACAGTCTAATTTTGGAGACTTGCCCAGATTTTTTATGCATTCTTTCCTAAAACTCTCTGCATGGGCCTCCATTCCACACTGTGTTAAGCATGTTTATGTCCACTGATTTCAATGATCTTCAGTCCATGTTAGACTGTGACCAATAACTTTATGCAGTTCGCTGTAGCATTCCAGGCAATCCCTCCCCCCAGACCATGGGTAGGCAAACTAAGGCCTGGAGGCCGGATCTGGCCCAATCACCTTCTAAATCTGGCCCGCGGACGGTCCAGGAATCAGCGTGTTTTTACATGAGTAGAATGTGTCCTTTTATTTAAAATGCATCTCTGGGTTATTTGTGGGGCCTGCCTGGTGTTTTTACATGATTAGAATGTGTCCTTTTATTTAAAATGCATCTCTGGGTTATTTGTGGGGCATAGGAATTCGTTCATTGTTTTTTATCAAAATATAGTCCGGTCCTGCACAAGGTCTGAGGGACAGTGGACCAGCCCCCTGCTGAAAACGTATGCTTACCCCTGCCCCAGACCCTTGCCAATACCGGGGCAGAGTTTCATTGACCTCCATAGCTTTCAAGGTGGGCCAAAACTCCAATTCCCATAATCCCCAACCAGCATGGTCAATGGTGCTGGTAACTGTGGTCCAGTAACAACCGGATGGCAACAGCTTCCTCATCCCTGACCTGTAGGATGCTGTGCAAGAACGGTTGAAGAAGACCATCCCTTTCCTTGTAAGTATGCCGATCTCATGTAATGTAATTGTGGGAAATATCAAGCAACTTTTCCCTTTTTTTAAAAAATAATAATTTTTATTTGGTTTTACAAATATAAAATAATAGTAATACCACAACACATCTACAATTAGAAGATTCCTCCGAATCTCTGGACTTCCCACTTTCCCTTCCATGGGTTCTGTTGTTACCCCTTTCCTACTGCATATTTTTTCAATAATCCATGTTTTTTATAACTCCATTGTGTCTATAGCTCTCGTTACATTACAAGTGTTATTGCAATCCAGGTAATGTTTTCTAATGTATTCTACTTCATTCAGTGGTCTCCAAGATAAATGACCGCTCCCCGCTCCAGATCCAGGGGCGACCTTTGCGTGGACGCACACAGCCCCTGGATCTGGAGCGGCTCCATCAGCATAGGCTTGGCTTCGCCTTCCCTCAGGTGGGATACCTGGAGGTCTCCGCCTACCCCAGTCAGCTGTCCAATCCCACCTGGGGGGAGCGTTGCCAAGGAGATCAGGCCAGGTAGGGGAGGGATTACCTGCCCACACAATAGAGGGAGGATCTTACCTGGGAATCCTCACTTGGCTCCAGAGCTTCTCCCACCCTACCCACCCTCAGTTAATGCATTATTTTGCAGGTTAACTTTTCTTCATAGCTTTTGCAGGTTAACTTTTCTTCACAGGTATGCGGGCGCTGCTACGTTAAGGTTGCTGTCAAAGGGCTGGAAAGGAATTTCCCTGCATTGGCAGGTTTCGCCTTTCCCATAGCAAAACGTCACAACTTTGGCGGTATCAGGCCTTGGGCAGAATCCTTTAGTCCATCTTCCTCTTTGCAGCGGTGATACCAGGGTTCCCCGTTAAAGGGGTTTCTGAAGGGAGGCTTTGACCGTACGCCGAAAGGTCGTCATTGCTCTCCCCTGCGGCGGCGGCGGCGGCGGAACAGGGGCGGCTATCTCTGCTTGAACATATGTTCTCCAGAGCCAGCCCATCCCCCACACAAACACTGGATAACCCTGATGCTCCCTAGGTCCCCGGCTGGGGACTGGGGAGGGAGAACACCCAATGCCTGAGCCAAGGTCTACCCACATTTGAAATTTAATAAAGTTGTGGCCAATTTAATCCCATAGCACGTGTCTTGAGTCGTTATTCCACATGACGGGGGGACCGCTCGGGATCTGGGAACTCCGCCTGTCCACGCAATTATAATTTTCCCCCATTCCTTATTGGGGTTTTGATCCTCTTGGTTCCTGAGCTTTCCAGTCAATTTTGCCAATTCAGCATAGTCCAACAATTTAATTTACCATTCTTCTCTGAACATTTTCCAGGTCAGTTTCAGTACTCCAGACATCTTGTCCATGCAAGGCCTACCAAAAGACAGTAAGACAGCTGCATCAGGCAGGAGATTTGGATTTTCGGTCTTGGGCATCAATAAGTGTTAGGGTTGCTTTTTGACCAAACTTCAGCCAGTTGTTTCAGATGTGCAACCACCTGCGTTAAACTGGAGCATTAGCACATATCCAAGTCCATATGGGTGCATTTGTTTTGGAACCTAGTTTTATCTGCTTTTTCTCTTGCACAGTAAGGTGGAGGGTGTTAGAATTCCTGATCTATGATTGCAGTCATAGGATTGTTGTCTTTCACATGACGGTATATGTTTTGACTCCACAGAGTGGGAAGTGATGGAGACAGGATGTTTGTGTTACTGTGTACCGTGAAGTGGGACTATTGTTCTTTGTTCTTTTTCCCTTTGCTGTCTGATGCTAGAGAGCTGTCTGATGCTAGAGAGAGAGGGAGCCATGTTGCAGTGCTCCGTGTGTGTTTATATATAAATAAAGTAGATTAGCCAAAATGCTGAGTTGCTGAGGTCTGTTATGCAACTGCGCATACTCTGCGGATCCCTAAGTGTGACGGTGTCTGTTGGCATCGGTCGCTGTGATGTTCGGGCTGAAGAAAGTTTTTGAAGCTCCCGAATGAAAGACCAGGAGGGAGAGAACATGCCAGTTGGGCATGTGTCTCTGCCAGGGTCCTACTCGAGTGTAGGCTGAACTCCTTACAGAGGGAACCTCAAAGAAAACAAGCTTTGAGCTCCCACTTGCCCAAATCTGCCCACTGAAAAGCTTTAGTGTGTCAGATTTGAAATTTCTTTGGTGTCAAATTCGAAATCTTTTTGGTACAGAAAGAAAATTCCATATATGTCAGGTTCAGCCAACTGCAAATCATGGGTTTGGACAGGCTCTTCTCAGATACAATCTTTTTCTACCCTGCCAAATTTCAGGGGAGAAAGTGTGTATTATAAAAACAAGTATCTTTGCAGCTCCATTCTCTCCCGAAAGCTGAATCACGAAAAACCAAACCTAGACTGTCATCCTGTACTGACATTTTCCCATCTCCCTCAATTGAATTTGTGAGTGGTGAGTCAACGATATGGGCAGCGCATGATAAACCCAGGCTCCTGGTGATCTGACAATGAGCATCGTGAGACAAGTCTCACCACTTGTCATGGACTCATTGGCAATTTGGGCAATTCAAGAAACCACACACTGCGACAATGCACTCCACAAAGGCTCACAATGCCTTTTTTTCTTTCCATGGGTGAGTCATTGTAGTGTTCTACAGGAAACATATGCAGCTACTCAGTACTGCCTAGTATGTTTTACATATGCTGTAAGCTGCCCAGAGTGGCTGGGGAAACCCAACCAGATGGGCAGGGTATAAATAATAAAATTATTGTTATTATTATTATTATTATTATTATTATTAGGACTGGCAGCAGCTCTGCATGGTTTCAGACAGGACATTCCCAGGACATTACCCAGAGACGTCAAAGATTGCAACTAGAACTTTCTGCATGCAATGCAGGTGCTTCTGTGACTCAGAAAGGTAAATTTATAGAAGTTTACACCACTGCAGCCGCTAGCCTGGGAATTTTTTTCAGCCAGAAGTCACCAGAACTGAGTTCTGGCACCTCTCAGGTGGGCACTATTGCCATTATAAGAGAACAAGGGAGGTGTTTGTGGTGAGTTCTGGCGCATGATGAGGCTGCCAGCCTTCAAAGAAAACAGCATCTATAGCTTTCCACTTAATTTTTCTGTGTATACACGGGGGGGGGGAGGAGGGAGAGAGATGCCTTTCTACCTCCCTGTAATACTTTGAGTCCTCTCCTAGCTGTTCTTCTATACCCACTAAGTTGCTCACTCTATCCAAGTCACATTTCTGCCCCATGATTCTTGACCTCACTTTGCCCCGGCAGAAATGAATTGCTCTCTTTTGGCCACCTGG